GGGAGGAAGCTCACGAGCACTCCTCCCTAGGTCCTCACCCTCGTTTGCAGCCAGATTCTGGGTCTGTGCTTTTGCAGCAGGAACTGGCAAACACCAAGTTTACAGACAAATCTGGTCCAGTGCCTGCTTCTGTAAACAGTGTTCTAGGGAGCACAGCCACGCTCACCTGTTTACATACTGTCCAGGGCTCCTTCACAGTGCAACAATGGAGTGCAGACTGCTTATGACCTGAGCCTTCCCAGAACAGAAGGCAGAGCCTATGTGAGAGCTACTCTGAGCTCAAAGACTGGATCTTCCTAAGCCTAAGTCCCAAAGCTGTAGGCTTCAGTTAAGTAACACATGGACAGTGAGATGTGAAGGCAGCAGGGGGGTTCCTGAGGGTCTCCCTGAAGAAGGTGTCTAGTAGAGGGCCAGGGTTAGCCTTCACAAAGACTGGTGTGATGTCAGTGAGCCACAGAGCTACAGCTGTTGTCAACTGAAGATAAAATGTGGATAATTTTCACTACCAGCCCCTTTAACAATTTACTTTTCAGTAAATTCTCTGAAAAAATATTCCATTTTTATTACATAATATAAAATTTACTTTTAAATGAAAAACTAACTCTAAAAACATAACAAACAACTATGTAAGTGTAACCCCTTCTCCACCAAAAGGAAAATGTGTTTTCAAAGTTGCAAAGATGTGCCAGCTTCACTTGCTGCTGCGAGCAGCAGAGGACACAGCACAATACCCCCAACTACAGCACCTCACTGAGGCAAAGCCCTCCCCGAGCCACTGCGGCTGCTCGGGCCGTGTCGGAAACCATAGTCCACAACTACAGCAAACTGATGTCAGAGACAATGTCACAGAACTGTGTGACTCTATTCTTTACTACACTTCCTGCTGATGTGTCATGCTTGCTCTGAAAACATTAATTATGTCCTCAATCCAGAAAAGATCTTGGGAAGCGACAGCAATAATGCGTCATGTCTTGGGTAGAGAAAGCCCATTCCCTCCTTGGCAGCGGGGGTGGGGGGTGGGGGGGGTGCACACAGGAGCTGCAGAAGCCAGGCCAGCTGTGACAGGTGCTGCCTTTGGGGCACAGCGTCCTCTAGGCACAGAGGCTAGTCCTTGTCAGTGTGGAGCGGGAGGGCAGGGTAGGACAGTATACTGAAGGACTGCCTTGGATCTGCCACAGGCACTGGGAGTGGTGGATCAGGAAGGTGTGGATGAATTCAGTCCTGATTTCAGGCTCCACGGGTGCCTGTGCCCATGTTGTGAAAACCGCATCAAAGCCCTGGCATGCAGCTAGCATTCAGAGGGATTGCAGAACCAGTGTCCATCCTCGATCTGGGGTGCACTGCGGGTGATGCAGGGGCGTCCAAGGTAGAGGGAGGAGGAGCTGCCATGCAGCTGGCTCTGTGGGGTCCACTGTGCCCCCACAGCTCTGACACACAACTTCCTGCTTTGCTGTACCAGATCCAACCATGGCCCATTGAGGACCGAGGGTCTCCTTAGCATTACCTGCATTGTCTTCCTGAACATGGGCCCCCAGTAATCTTTCTACATAGACACTTAGGGCTCTCCTACAGAGTCCTCCGTGATGAAGACATTTACTGTCCTGTAGTCTGGCCGAATCCACCCTCTGATCCCAGTTACCTCCTGTGAATCCTCCCCTGACTGGTAGGGCCAATATGCTCACTCTCAGGTGCAGCCTGGGCAGTGCACTTCTGTCTGTAGGAATTCTACTTCCAGCTGCTCTGAGTGCCTGGTTCTCCATGGCCTAGAGGGACATGCCTGCCTTCTGAAATGTAGCAGCTCCTGGTGCCATAAATTCATTCAATCATTGGTCACGAGTTGCCTTGAAATATTCACACTTTCTCTGACTTGCACAAAGTATCTATTTTAAAAGAATCTCTCAGGCCACATCTCACCTCCTTAGCTGAAGATGAGGCATCTGAGGTAGCATGTGTCTCCCATACTGCCTCAGCATGGGCTCCCTCAGTGCCAGCTGCAAGTGCATACTCTACTTTGGGGACAATGAATCAAGCGTGTGAACTCCTGAGTTGCCAAGCCTGTAGCTCTTCCTGGAGTCTGTAGGCACTCATTCCCAAACCATTTAGTGAGCAGACATGAAGCTTGGACAGAAAAGGCAACGTTCCAGCAGGCTGGATGGAGGAGAACGGGTAAAGGGGGGGAGGACGGCACAGCGGCAGCGTGGCTTCAAGAAAGGCACATTTTCCCTGAGAGCACTTCAGTCTAGTCCAGGCGCCGAGTCTCCTCCATGCAGTCCCAACCCACGCCCCTCTATCAGCGGGCCTGGGCCTTCCTGTTTCCCAAGTGTGGGAAAGGATCTCTGAGGCCTCTGCCACCCAGCGTGTCTCCCTTCTCTGTCCCCCATGCCATCATGCATCTTCAGTCTCCTGCTGGCATGTCCCACGAGCTCCCAGTGCAGTCCTCAGCTCATCAGCCTCCGCAGGCTCCCTGCCAGAAGCCAGAGGTGCCGCCAGGCCTTTCATTTAAGGTCCGACCGAACCTGCTCTTCCTACCAACCTTCTTACTTCTTATGTCTTAGTTTTATTTCTTGCTTCTAGTAACCTCACTCCTCTCCAAAATGACCTGTATTTTGGTCATTCTGCAACTCTCACCACTGCCAGTTGGTGTGGCAGTGTGCTCCTTGGGTAGCTGGCGACCATGTGAGGCCCCACCACCGTGTACAAAAGAGAATGGGAGGCAGCACACATGGGTGCCCCTCCAGGTGAGGCAGTATGCTTCTCCCATTTCTTAGAGAAAGTAAAAATGAGGTCCTGGCTAATCCCCAATTCTGGCGTTCTCCGAAGCAGGGAGGAAAGGAAGCCGAATGGCTGCTGCAGCCCATGACCGCCTGGGGCTGGGTGGCAGGGATTCTGCGGCAGAGACAAAGCAAGCAGGCCACACTACTCCAACCTAGCAGCTCTGCAACCTTAAGCACCTGCCCCAGGCTGTGGTCACCCAGACTGGTCTTCTCAGGGCTGACCATGCTGTTGGCATGAGGCCAGGCCCACAATTTTCCACAGCTTCTTAGGTTTGGGGAAGGACCAGGAAACTGTGAGCCTGGGAATGGGCCAACAGCTAAGGAAGAATGCAGTGTGCACACAGCTGTGTGGCTCTTGTCAGAGCCCTCCAGAGAGCAGCTCCCTACTGGCTGAGGGTCTACTGCTCACGGGCTTTTCAGCTACACATAAATGAAAAAGCACTAAAGACCAGCAGGGCAGTGTGGCAAGCTGGCTCTGGAGGCAAGACACACACGACCCACCCAGAATGCAAGCAGCCATGGTGGTCTCAGAAGCAGGCTCTGTGTCCGTACACACCACACATTTCCTTCCCTTGTTTCCCAGTGCTCAGGCCTCAAAAGGAACGGAGGCAGTGAAGGGTTCACTTCTGACTACGAAGAATGAATTCAGAGATTATACTTCATGCAAGGAATGAAATGACTTCTTCCACAATAGCCTTTTTCCTCCCAGATGAAAAGGAGTCACCAGTTAGCCCAATCTCAGCATCACCTATGGCCACTTCCCCTCAGTGAACAAAGATGTGCACAAGGTGACTTTGGAAATCACAAGAGAGCAAATTCCATGTGACTTGATTCAGGGGAAGGAGCACCTTCTGTTCTGACTAAGCCCAGGGCAAGCACCCATGTCATGTGACATCAGAACACAGGGCACGTTCTGCTGTGTTCCTGACACGTGCCTGAGACCCCCATGATTTGGAATCTGGCCGCACGAGCACTTACCAGCGCAGGGCAATCTTGATAGGGGTGGTGAGGCAGGATGTGAACAGGTCAGCTGGGAGGTCAGGGATCATAGGCAGGAGCTCGTTGGCTTCACAGGCCGCCAACTGGATGCAGTTTTTCATCGACGGGGGCAAGGGCATCTGGGCAAGTGGGTGGTTTGGGTTAATCGCAGCTACCTATGGGAGAACACAGAAAAAGAGTGTTTCAGCTGACCCAGCTGCAGGGAAAGCTGGGCAGCCCTGCTTCTGACAAACCTATCCTCTTATCAGACCCCTCCATGCGTCAGAACGGCTTCACGCACACGAGCAGGACGGTACACGTGGCCTGGGCCTTCACGCTGTTGTACTGTTGGTGGTAAGCTTTCGGTCCTTAATCCATCCCAACCTTACCTTGGAGTGTTTAATGACACAAGAAGATGTTCAGAACACATCATCAATACTAACAACAAAAGAAGACTCCAAGCAGCACAGCGTGGGCCTGCCACCATCAAACCCAGACAGAAGGCAGAATACAAGGCGCATGGTGGTGGTTAGAGGGGTTTCTGTGTTCATCTGATCTCTGTAAAGGTTCTACAAACAAATATGCACTTGCTCTGCACTGGAGACAAAGTGTTTGGTTCGATTCTGAATGATCCCTTTTTAAGGCGGGGAAAGGGCCGCCTGTTGGGTATTTCCCTCAATGAGATTTGGAAAGGGGAAGGCCCTGGGCTGAGGCTGACAGAGCCACCACACCCAGCTTCCAAAAGCGAAAATAACGCAGTGCTTAAACCTTTAGACATGACATGACTCCCTCACACTGGCACAGAGAATCCTGCATCCTTGCTGTGCCACCAAAGCAGCAGTGTATGTCCAAACACAAGACATGACTTACCAGGTACAACCATGCCTCATGTGCATGTGGCACCTGCTTCATATGGTGACACGTGACAGTGTTTGATCTGCCACCGGCTCTGCTGTCATTTTCAGAAATAATGACGATTCATAAGAACTCCCAGACTTTGGCCAGCAAGGCCTGGCAAGCATGACATGGGGCCTTTGAGTACACACTGCTTTGCCTGCTTCCGATGGAGCTTGTGGCAACAGGTTGGAACGATCTCACTCACGTAGTGCTCTGGCTCAGGGAAGCAGAGCAGCCGTGCGCAATGGTCTGCCTGGAGCAGGCAGTGTGGTGCAGAAGACAGGGGCTGCTCACAGGCATGCGGTGCTGAGGAAGGGAAATCCCTCGAGTGCCAGCAGGGCGTGAGCCTGAAGCCACTCATCAACACCGCGAGGGCCAACTTGAGGGAGAGCACAGGGCAGAAGGGAGGGTGCTGGAGAGCACCTGCATTCCATTACCTGGCCTGCATCTTCATGTCTGAGCACGACACATAGGTTACTGAAAGATCAGGAAACTGAGAAAACCCTGCACGGCCCAGGCAGCTTTCAGCAGCCCCCGCTCACTCACCTACGAGTACTCATTTTTTGGCCATAATGAAAAGCTATCAACTGTGGAGCCCCAGTTTGATCCAGCCCATCTTGGCTGAGATCTGGCAAAACACAGCTCCAAATCAAACCTGATGAAATGAAGTTTAATTCCAGAAGAAACCTCCTTCTAGTGTGGATTTATTTAGTTATAAGGCCATTCCAGAGCAAGGATCTTAGCCTCCTGAACTTCCAGGTCATTTGTTAAGTGACTCCTGGGGCTTATGTTATAAACCCTCTGGGGCAAGATGCTGTTGCTTCCCCCTGGGACCACAGCAGAGGCCAGAACAGGGGTCCTGTGGGCAATCCCAGTGAGTACCAAGGAGGGTCATGAGCTAGGGCAGCATCTTTCTGAATCGCCAATGGCAACCGAGACTTGGAAAGCGCACTTCCATGCCACTGCCTTTCCTCCTTTCTCACTGACAATCCCTTGTAGCTGGTGGTTCTTAATGTCCCTAAGCTCTTTCACACATGCTGCTGATCTGCTTCCAGTATTCTAAGGAAGGAAGCTTTATCTCCACTTTCAAAGATCTTCAGTAATAAAGAAATAGAGGCTTCGAGAAGCGATGTGACTATAATCTGAGCATGCAGGAAGCTGAGGCAGGGGGCCTGCTGTGAGTTTAAGGGCAGCCTGGGCTACACAGTGATGAGACTGTGGAGCTGCTCTACTCTGTTTTGGAGACCTTTCCTGCCCCATTGTTTCATCTGGAATATCTGGAGTCTGGGTCAGACACCCAGGTTCCACACGGCACATTCTACACTTTTAAGATCAAATCCACATCAAGTTGCAGCATCTCTTGAACATCTAACCCAGTGATGACGGCAAATGATGCTACCATTTCACTACCCCTAGCTTGGGCAGCTACTATTCCTCAAATGGTGGGTATTAAAAGTGCACATTTTATCAATAACGCCCCCACTACAGGAATATTAAGCTCAAAGTACAAATCAGGTACTTCTATACAATAGCAAAAATAATATAAGCCATTTAATAAAAACAGTAATTTCTGGGGAAATGGGTGATAAATTTTGTGCAACATAAAGCATTTTATAATTTGCATGGCTGTGGATCAAACCTAGAGTCTCAAGCATGCTAGGCAAGCACTCTATAGCTGAGCTGGACCCCAGTCCCATGTTAACTGTTTTAAATGTACAGCTCAGGGTACAATGGCATTGAGTAACACCAACAAGGAGTGGGCTTTCTTAAGGCAGAGAGAAGGAAGCCAAGGCCATCTGTAAAATAATTTTCTGGGCTCTGGCTGGATAAGCTAAAATAGATCAGCAAAGCAACAGCTCTGCACAGGAAATTGGTTTCCAGGTCTGTAGCATCAACCCCGCTCTGCAGGATGATGGGTCTGGACAGATCTGGCCTGCAGCTTGTCAGCTGTGAGTCATGCAGGGGCCAGGCAGGCGCTCTGGAGACCACAGAAACATCAGAGCACAGCCTCCATGGCCAGGCACTGATGGGCAGGTGGAGCTGCACAGAAGGGCTTTCTGGTTTCCAGCCTGGTAGAAACGGAGTGGGAGGGAGGAGAGAAGATGACCGCCACTCCTGTGTAGGCTCTAGGAAGGCTGGATGCATAAGCAGCAGAGCCAAGGACAGAGTCTTGAGGTGTGGGTCACAGTCTTGGTGACATCTGTCTGGAGCTGCTTGGCAGACTGGCAGTTTCAATAAGTACTACTAACTACCACCAGACAAGGCCAGCCAGCAGACAATTACAAAGGAAAACACTATGTAGGAAAGAATGGCTAATGACCCAAAGCCAAGATTCAAAAAAGCCCTTCAGAGTGTTGGTTTATAAGCAAGGGAAGGGCCTTGGCTGGGGGGGCGGGCAGGTGAACCGCGCAGTTCAGGAGCAGACAGCATGTGGGCCTCAGGCCCATAGGACACAAACTATGCTTAACGACTGTGAGAACTCTGCCCTGGGGATAATCAGATCCAGTGATATTTTTCAAAAAAACACTCTAAACTTAAGGCAAAGGGTTCCACCAATGAACATTATTTTCAGACTTGCTGATGCAGGAAAAAAAAATTCATTTAACACGTATAAGTTACTTCCCTACACTGTTTGAGTTTGATTTATCTAAGGTACTGACCCTTTAATCGAAATGATTCTTCAAAAGCCATCCTGCATGTAAGGCTCATTTCTAGTAACTCCAAGGCCTAGAAAGGCAGCCAGACAGCACAGGTGATGCTGAGGTGCTGGCGCTCCTGAGGGGCTGGCGGCACGTCTGCCCAGGGAATTTCTCCTGGGAGATCCGGAGGCTCAAGCACCAGAACCACCTTCAAAAGCTCCCAAGGCCTTCTGGAAGATTTGGGAAGGGTCCAATCCTCAGATGCAATTTACTCCAACCAGCTCCAAAGGAGACATCTGTTGCCTCTGCCACGGTTGTGGGTGCTGTGGAGTTGAGGGCTCTGGCTCCTGACTGGGCTAGGTACTTCCTGACAGCATTCCATTGCTCAGGGTAGCACCTGGGTTTCTTGTTTCCAAAGCTCGGTTGAGATGGAGCTGCTTCTGCTCTTTCACCCACGAGACACAGAGCCAGAGGCACCGGTAGGTCCAGGTTTCCCAGACAAACATCTCCTTGGCTTTCCTTCTAGTTCAACCCAGGAGCAACTTTTATCTCTATTCAACAGCACCTCATTACAGGGACAGTTCACAGATCAGAGAGCGATGAACTAAGTGGAGCTCATGTTACCTGTCCAACTTCATTCCTATTTAAAGATCTAGCATGGGAGACATTATATTAAAGACAGCAGGTACCACGCTGAAGAAGTGTTCATAATATATTACTCATGTAATTTTATGGATCTGGTATTCAATAATAATGTGATCAAATGGTATACACATGGCTAGGAATGGAAATCTTGGCCAGAAGAGCAGGGGATGACTTCTGGTAGAGGCAACTCAGTGCTGTCTTTCAAAGGGCAGCTAGAGTCTCTCAGCAATGGTTTACCATGATTGTCCTGAGCTTACCCCAATGAACTGTCCATTACTTTAAAGCCACTTAGTTGCTGGCAGCTCAGTTTCTAAAAGCTCTGAAAAACATTCTACAATTCAGTGAACACGTTAATTAGAAATGATAAGCAAATTCTACTCCCTAACCATACTTGGACTGAACCAACAACTGACGAGGAAATGCGGCCAGTCACGGGCATCCGAAAGAAATTTAGGGGCAGCTTAACATCTTCCTCCACTGTGAGCTGACCAGCTGTTGGAGGACAGAGCCTGGAGCAGGGCCTAAGGAGGCAGGAGGGAGGAGTCCCAGGGTTGTTGCCCAGCTAAGTTGTGTGAAGGGACTCAGAAGCAGAGTGGTCTCTTCTATGTGAGACGCAGAACGCCGTGCTGCATGGTCACACCTGAAATTCAGTCACACAGTGTCTCTTCCAGAGCGCTGGGATGCCTGCAGTCTACCCCACAAACAGCATTCTCCAGAAGGCTGGTCGGCCCTTGAGGCAAGAAGGCCTATTGGCATGAAGTGTTACTGGTGACCTGCTGTAGGATTTCCTGGCTCAGGGCCCACGAGGGCATGTTTCTAACACTGACCACAGGGTTTTGGACCCCAGCACCAAGGACACACTTGCAGTTCCAGGTCTCGTGCCGCCCGAGGACCCTGACCTCTCCTCCCAGGTCACTCCTACAGTCTTAGCTGGGGGCAGAGATCACTTGCTTCCTTGCTGCTCGCTGCTTCTTCATCTGTCTACCAAAAATGTG